TTATTTGTTTCTTTTATTTTGTACCCAAAGTCTTGGGATACCTAATGACGTTAACATGACAGTCTATTTGCTTTATCCTACGTGTGTGTAAAAGTCTCAGAATAACTATACCATTATGATTATGAAACTTGTGCTAAGATTTCTATAAATTTTTATCTCCTAGGTATATACCAGTAAGGATATAAAGTTAGATTATTTTTTTAAATATCTTGAAATAATTCATCTCTCTGAGTTTAAGGCAACAACTTGATACATAGTAAAGTTTTAATTTTTATGAAATATCTCTTTTACTTTAATTCAATTTTGTTTCACAATTATGTAAAACTTTTTATTTCCCAACTTAAGCGGCCAACACTGTCCCTTATAGCCTTTCCTTTTTCTCTCCATTTGGAAAAACATTTAATTATTTTTTGATTTATGGTACCAATGTTTATTTTTTATATAAGCATATAAATGTATATGCATATATATGTGTATATGCAAATGTATGCTTATATGTACATGTTTATGTATATATATATATATATATAGTCATAATTCCTCCTTCTTAGCTAAATTATAACATGTTATCAACACTTTTCTGTAACTTCCTTTTCTCTTTCTAAATAAAACATTCTAGAAATCATTCCATCACACACATATTTATAGAGCGAGGTAGACCATACTTGTTTTTAGCCAATCATTTCATCAATGGACATTTGGGTTGCTTCCAATTTGCAAGTGTTTCCAGTTTTTGCTTGTCTATCTTTGGGAAATATTTCCAGAGAAGAGATTGCTGGGTCAAAGGGTAAATGCCTGTGCAGCTTTGCTAAATTTTGCCAAAATCCCTTCCCTGGGAGTTTTCTGCTTTATTTTACATTCCTGTCGTAATGTGGGGAGTGTCTAATTCTCCCAGAGAGAACATTGAATAGAATATGTACCTCTACTTTCAGAGTTTTTCCAATTTGATACACTAGGTGTAATGCTTCATATAATTTTCACGTGCATTTATTTTCTCATGAGCAAGGATGAATTTTTTTCCCTGACTTTGGACCCAATTGCATATTTTTTGTAAGCTGTTCATTCCTGTCTCTTGTTCATTTTTCCATATTGTCATTATTTTTCTTCCTTTTTTCTGAAACTCTTTATGTATTAAGTGTATTAAACCTCTTGTCTATGATATACATGGCAAATATTTTTTCTGTATTCCCTTTTTCTAAAAGTTGGTATGGCACTTTTTTCCACAAAAAATTACTTTTGTGTAATCAAACTTCTTTTATTTTTTCTGTATTTTGAGTCATAATTAGACAAGTTTTTTTCGTCATTTCTGTCTTTAAATGAATTGGCCCATATTTTCATTTAGCAGATGTGTGGCTCACCACATGTCTATTTCTTTACACACAAATTGTATATACACACTCATCCCTTGGTATCCATGAGGCATTGGTTTTAGAACCCCTAAAGAAGATATCAAAGTCTTCAGTTGCTTAAGTCTCTATAATAAAGAGGGGCAGTATTTTCATAAAACCTATGTGTGCACTTCTGCAGTGCTTAATCTCTGGGTTACTTATAATACTTACTACAGTGTCAATACTTGTTTCTCTGTATTGTTTAGTTAATGATTACAATAGAAAACAATTTATACATGTTCAGATGTACAGTTTTGTTTTCTTTTTGTTAATGATACAGTGCTTCGTGTTTGCTAGGCAGGTGCTCTACAGCTTGAGCCAGACCTCCAGCATCCAAATGTTTTTGATTTGTGGTTGGTTGAGTCCTTGGATGTGGAACTCCTGGGCATGGAGGCATGTGTGTGTACCTTTTTTTATATGTGTATATATTTATATGTGTATATATATGCTATATTATATGTAAAGTATATTATATATAGCTGCACCTCTGATGTATTAAATGTTTCCCCAAAGTAGTAAATGAATGTTAAATAAATCCTTGCCTGAATGTAGGACCCTGGGCAGTAATGATGCCCAGTATTTGACCTTGAACATGTGAACTAGAATGCTGTCGATTGAAGAGCACTGAGCTGGGCATGGAGCCCTGGCTTGGGTCTCTGCCTCAAACCCTTACCAGCTGTATGACGCCCACTCATCTCTTCTGATCCTGCTTCCTCATTTGCCAGGTGCAAGGGTGAGGAGAAAATAGTGTTAGGATGGTTTGTAATTGACAAAAAACTGTCTACATGTAGGGATGCCTACTATAGTTTGTAATGGTGGGAGCTCTATCTTCCCTGTCCCCAGATGACTGCTGGGACAGATACAGTCAAGAAAACAAACACTGAGAGATACTTTCCTTCCTCCATCTTCTGAAAGCCCCATAAGAAGAGACCCCAGGTTTTACAATGTGTGTTGTTCTTATGATTATACTTTGTGGAATGGATACATCTCATAATGGGCTTTTCTTCACTGATGCAGAGTAAATAAAAGGAAGACAGAGTGAGAAGACTGATATTACAGGGAGTAGCCATTTTCTTTAGAGCTGTCACTGTGGTGAGATTGGAAAATGGACCACACACTCTTTGGTTAGGAGACCTACATATGCCCAGAGTGTCATGAAGCAGACCCTGACATTCCATCACTGTGAGCTTCCAGGACAACCAAGATGAAAAATAATCCTCCAGAAGATAACTTCCATTAAAGTCTTAGCAACGGCTTAGCTAAACTCGCTCCTTGGAACATTTTACTACTCCATTTGCCATGAGCACATGCTGGCTTTCAGAGACCCGGGGTTACATAAATATTTGGACCAAGAAGATACCTAATTAAAAATAGAAAGCAGAGAGTGGGGGAAATTGAGTTTTTGGAAGAGGCCATCAAATCATTTGGAGGTATATGAAGTCTTGCTTTGTCTCTGATTTTATGGGACACATTCAGTGTGGCGTCTTGGGAACAAAAACCCTTGTATTCTTTATAACTATGGACTTCCTCATGGGGGGATGGCATAGGCTGTATTTTAAGGGTGTGACCTCTGGTGTGCCCTTTTCAGATCAGAAATCTTGTCTCTCACTCAAAGCCTTGGTTTTTCATAGCATAAGGGGACTTCCTGCCTCTTCTAATGGTGTAACTGTTCACCAGTTGTGCAGATGAGAACACAGCCTCCTTAACCCTCTGCATCTTTGTTCTCTTTCTTTCCAATCAGCTATAAAGTCTCAGCAATTGTGCTTTACAGATTTCTCTTGAACTGGTCACTTTCTCTTTATACAACCCCCACTGCATGAGTTTGGGTCCTTACCTCCTCTCACCTGTCATACTGCATCTCCTACTCTCCTTGGTTCCAGCCTTTCTGCTTGAGATCTTCCACACTGCTGTCAGTGGAGTCATCATTTTTATTATGTTTTTAGTTTATAAAGGAAGGGTTTTTATTTATAAAGTTTTGCTCACAGTTCTAGAGGGTGAGAAGTATAAAAGGCATGGGGCAGCCAATGGGTGAGGGCATTGTGCTATGTCATGACACAAAAGGCAGAAGGGCGTACCTCAGTGGGGTCTTAGTAAGTCACAGTCACAAATGCAACAATGCTCACTTATTGATTAAGGCCCTTTAGCTGTCTTTATGAAGATAAAATCCACATTCTTCAGACTGATGTATATGGCAGCCTCTTCACCATTAGTCTTCTGTCTGCCTCTGATGTCCTCTGCTGAGAACACCCTTTGTCTTTCTGTTTGGTCAGCTCTGTCTGTGCCTTTATCATTCAAGCTGCACATGACCTCTGCTTCAAAGTCTTTCCTGCAGGAGTCTCTGCACTTTTCTCAAGAATCTCAAATATGTTCCATTTACCCATGGTATGGCACTTTCCAGACTGGATTATTGGATTAGAATAAGGGAGAAAACATGGGTAGGGAGAGTTTTTGTAGTGGAGAGTACATGAGTTTTGGAGTTAATTCAACCTGGTTTTAAAAGCTTGCCTCCAACATTTACCTATTGTGTGATCTTGTACTCAACCTCTCTGAATAACCATTTTCCCACATACTTCCCTTATCATGTTGGAAAGATTAAAAGACATGCGTGGGTCAGGCACCTAAGAGTATCTGGTAGAAACTTAGAACTTGATAGTCTCCTGTTCTTTTTAGCTGTACCATCTGCTCTGAGGAAGTGTATTGGGCGTTGGTCAGAACCTGACTTCTCCCTGAGAAATGGATCTGGTACCTCCTGGTTAGTGAACTAAAAGCAGGCTGTGTGCTCAGCCAGTGTAGACTATCAATGGAGAAGTAGTCATTGATTAGGGTTGTATGGGAGGTTGTCTAGAGAGAGGAAGATGGGGGAGGAATGTGTTTGGGTTGGGAAACTGATAGTGCAATTAACTTAAAAAGTTTTTCCCGTCAGTTTTTTTTCCATGTGTCATCCCTGAAACACTATCCTGCCAAGTGTAATGGTATCTCCAAGGTATAGGGTACTTAAAAATAGGGAGATAATTATATCCTCTTGATTATCCACATCCAAACATAAGAAACGGAGCTCTCTTAAAGGAATAAGTCATCAGAGTATGAAGAGAAACTCACATCCTTTAAAAGAGCTGAGTGGAGCCTCCCATGGGTAGGTGGGGGTCAAGTGCAGAGAGGAGGAAACTGCTCTTTCTGTAGGTCTGAGCCTGGGTATGGGGAAGAATGGGCTATGAGCCTGGCAGCAGCTGGCCTGTTACATCAGAACTGAGCATTCCCCAACATGGAAAGCCTCATGATTGAGACTGTGCAGATGCTTACTGTGTAAGTGATTAAAGCGAACTGTTGTTTGGGGGACAAGGGCAGAAGGTGAAGTTTGAATGCTTAACAAATAGAGAAATAAGATTTAGGGCTCATAAAAATTATATTGCAGTCTTTCCCTTTTCCTAACAAACCAGATCTTTAAACTCAAGTTTTTGACTTTCTTGTTATTAAAATGTATAATTGTATATTGTTTTATTGCATTTCCTGCTTTGCTTTTAACATAGCCCATCATCCTGGAAAGGGCAGATTAAAAATAAGCTCAGCAAGCCAGGATGACACCCGTGTAACACCATCTTCTGCTCCTTCCAGGCGCAGTGTGATCTTCCTCCCGCTTCCTGGCCAGAACTCTGCCTGCTGTATCCATCATGGTGTTTGGTGAGTTTTTCCATCGCCCTGGACAAGACAAAGAACTTGTCAACTTGAACGTGGGGGGCTTTAAGCAGACTGTTGACCAGAGCACGCTCCTGCGATTCCCTCATACCAGACTGGGGAAACTGCTAACTTGCCACTCTGAAGAGGCCATTCTGGAGCTGTGCGATGATTACAGTGTGGCTGATAAAGAGTACTATTTCGATCGGAACCCCTCCCTCTTCAGATATGTTTTGAATTTTTATTACACGGGGAAGCTGCATGTCATGGAGGAGCTGTGTGTGTTCTCCTTCTGCCAGGAGATCGAGTACTGGGGCATCAATGAGCTCTTCATTGACTCCTGTTGTAGCGGTCGCTACCAGGAGCGCAAGGAGGAAAGCCATGAGAAGGACTGGGACCAGAAGAGCAATGACGTGAGTACTGACTCCTCCTTTGAAGAGTCTTCTCTGTTTGAGAAAGAGCTGGAGAAGTTTGACCAGCTGCGATTTGGTCAGCTCCGGAAAAAAATCTGGATTCGAATGGAAAACCCAGCATACTGCCTGTCAGCCAAGCTGATCGCCATCTCCTCGTTGAGTGTTGTGCTGGCCTCCATTGTCGCCATGTGTGTCCACAGCATGTCAGAGTTCCAGAGTGAGGATGGACAGGTGGATGATCCTGTGTTAGAGGGTGTGGAGATTGCATGTATCGCTTGGTTCACAGGGGAACTTGCCATTCGGCTGGTTGCTGCTCCCTGTCAAAAGAAATTCTGGAAGAACCCTCTGAATATAATTGACTTTGTCTCCATTATTCCCTTCTATGCCACATTGGCGGTAGATACCAAGGAAGATGAGAGTGAGGACATTGAGAACATGGGCAAGGTGGTCCAGATTCTCCGGCTTATGCGGATTTTCCGAATCCTGAAGCTTGCTCGGCACTCAGTAGGACTTCGTTCTCTTGGGGCCACACTGAGACACAGCTACCATGAAGTGGGACTGCTGCTTCTTTTCCTGTCTGTTGGTATTTCCATATTCTCTGTGCTTATCTACTCTGTGGAGAAAGATGACCAGACATCCAGCCTCACCAGCATCCCTGTCTGCTGGTGGTGGGCCACCATCAGCATGACGACGGTGGGCTATGGAGACACTCACCCTGTCACCTTGGCTGGGAAGGTCATTGCCAGCATGTGCATCATCTGTGGCATTTTGGTGGTGGCCCTTCCCATCACCATCATCTTCAACAAGTTTTCCAAGTACTACCAGAAGCAAAAAGACATTGACGTCGACCAGAGCAGTGAGGAGCCACCAGACAAGTGCCATGAGCTACCTTATTTTAACATTAGGGACATTTATGCACAGCGGGTGCATGCCTTCATTACCAGTCTGTCTTCTGTTGGCATTGTGGTGAGCGATCCTGACTCCACAGATGCTTCAAGTATCGAAGACAACGAGGATGTTTATAACATCACATCCTTGGAGAACTGCACAACAAAATGAACAGGGACATTTGTGCCTGTATCTCGTGTTCCTTTCCAACATTAGGTTAACACAGCTTTATAAACCTCAGTGGGTTCATTAAAATCATTTAATTCTCAGGGTGTACCTTTTAGCCATAGTTGGACATTCATTGCTGAATTCTGAAATGATAGAATTATCTTTATTTTTCTCAGTGAGGTCAATTAAATGCCTTGTTCTGAAATTTATTTTTTACAAGAGAGAGTTGTGATACGGTTTTTGGGTAAAAAAAAATATCAATGATATTGGGTGGGATTTATTGCTACGGCTTATGCATCATTCTATATTTGTCATTTACTCACATTGAGCTAACTAGAAATTACTGACAAGTAGACTCATAGGTCCAGCTGACAGAAGACTACATGCATGTAAGATCCACAAACTGAGACAATGCATGTACATCCGTGTTCATGTTCTAGACATGGAAACTGAGAGCCGAATAAACTTCCTAATTCAGTATGGAGAATTTCTTGGTTGTGTGTTCTTATGTCAAATAAGTACATTTCAGTATTAACAATTGGCTTAGAGGGGAAATGACCTTTTTGGAATATCCAGTCTTTTCCTTTTGCATTTTGAATCTACACCAATTATATGCAGTTTAGCAGTCTTGTGGTTGGTAGGTGGAAAAACATATCCCTGATTAAACTGTACTGCCCAGTGTACATTGATTAAGCACGTAGGTGTTGGGAAAATATGAATGAAGTGTGTATCCTTACAGACATATTTCCAGTAGATATTTTGAATTTTGTAATAATTTCTACTGCTAGGATAAAACCTCATCACCTGAAAATTTTACAGAGCCGAGTAAATCTGCCAACTCCCAGGCAGAGACCCATCCAGTGAACGGAAGAAAGGAGAGATGTTGTGCAAACACACAGAAGTGATTCATTAATGGCCAGAGGTGTGAAGCATAAATCACTGAAAAAATGCTGTGCCAAAGCTATAAAATGAGCCAGCATTTCCAAATAGCTGCAGAGACAGTGATGGCAGCACCTTACATAGAAACCCCTTACTAGGAAAGAAGGCACACAGAATGACTGCCAGAGCAGTGACTGAGCATTTCCATCTCATGTGGGGAGAGCTTAGCTCAAGTCTTCGTTTTGGAGATGTATGGCCCTGCTAACTCACGCTGTCAGGACGGCTGCACGGTTCTTTCCCTGTGCTCTTTCAAATGGATGAGCCATATGGATTTACTTCCTAATCTTTTATATTTGGAGATGCATTTCATTGAAAGAAGAACATCGTCTGCAGGTTATTGGTACCTCTTTGACTCCTCATTCCTCTTCACGTGTCTGTAAGTTCTGAGTTGAACAAGATGGAACTGGTCACTCTTTTAAACCTGGAGGTGTATTATGTGCATGTGTGTCAGTCATGCTCAATTAAAAACATCTTTATTTCCTTCCAAATGTCTTTTTGATTTTGGCATAAATGTGGTTTTGAGGCATAGCAGAAGTTGGGATCCTGTTTTATTAATATTTCCTAATTAGTAGTGAAGTTATTGAAGACTGCTTAAATAGTAATAGTAGAGATAATGACCACTACAGCATCAATAATAATAGCTATCTAAGTGAGTGCTTTGCCAATATAACCTCATTTATTCCTTGCAAGGGATTATTACTGTCCTTATTTGAAGATGTAACAACTGAGGTTGACAGGAAAAGAGGTTTCCTTAAGTTCCCACAGTGAGGAATGGAGTGAACTCTGAAGGCAGAGCCCAGGCTCTGACCTGCCCTCTTAGGGAATGGATTTAAGGAAGTATCAGAACAGGCTTCCCCTGAAGACAGAGAGATGAGTGCTGCTCTCCAAATTTGACTTTTCCAGTATGCAAGTGAAAGGAGTAATGCTGGATGTATACTTTTCCTTTCCTGATCCAGAAAACAGACATGTTTATTTAGAGATTCAAAATTTTGTAGAATGTTCTTGAAGCCAGAAGAGCCTCTGAGGATTCCTGCTTTGAGGACACCAAGTGGTAAACATGGTGGAAAACCTGCAGTTCTACAAGAATTCAGGAATGTCTGTCTCTGGTGGGAACAGAAGGGGGCTTTGTCCATTATCACCCTATAGGAATGGTGCTTCTAAGTGTGCTCATGGGGGTTCTTCACTCTCTCCCCCTCACCCCCTCATCTCAATCCTTGCCATATCCTTCTGTTAAAATCTATGCCATATCAAGAGGCTCTGGTGACAAAAATTTGCAGGGCCTTGTGTTGAACTAGGCTTCTCATATACCACATGGGCCTCCTCTTGTTCATTTCCGTGAGAAGAAATGGCAGCCCTTTGCTCAGGAATGGTGGAGTGGCTGGCTAAATGCCCACCTTATAGGGATACTGGCAAGGGCTACGGGAGTGAAGTGGCAGAGGAAGAAGCCAGGCAACACAATCTAAGGCCCAGTGATACCTGTTTCTTCATTGATAGGTCCTGGGAATTGGGGTTCAATTGAGTGAGACCAATTCAGGGAGTTTCATCTTAAAATTTTTTCCTACTCTGTGTCCTCATTCTCTTCCAGTTCTTCAGAATTGTTTTGCTATCATCTTCAGGTGTTCTTTATGGTGGTTTGAAAGGTCATGGAATGACCCAGTGACCTGCCCCAATGGATTGATGTTTGGGGCCTGGGTTTTTGGGAGTCTAGTGAGTTCACTGATACTGGACAGGTGGTCTCTTCTCTTTTGGCCACATACACTGCTTGCTGATCTTTGCCTTTGTGGTGTCTCTTTTCTTTCCCTTTGCTGAACACCCTACTTTATTGAAAGTATCTGCCACTTTTAGGTGTGCTGGTTCTTTTTTATCCTGTGGAGGCTTAGATGGGCAGATACAGGTAGACTTTGTGACTTTACTTATTCTTCCTGTTTTTTTTTTTTTTTGCCAGAGATATTTGGTCTCTCAGTTGCTTTTGTACATGCCCAAGTTCTTCCACATGTGTTAATTTTATACTTAACTCAAGGGTTTGGGGGACACTTGGGGGTCATGGTGGGTCTTTAAGCTTGGAGGTTGATTCATATTACTTGAGAAGCTTTCATTATCATCCAGGAGAGAGTGATTTGTAACACATGGAACTGTCAATATCTATCTTTTTTGATCTAGAATAACAGCAGGTTCCATATGGTTCAATTTAGTGTCAAGAGTGACTTGTGTTAGCCAAAAGGTGCTTCTCAGGGTCCTAGACAAACTTATGATGCCTGTTTAAAGGAAGAAGCAAGTATCACGGATCTGGGATTTTCTGTAAAACTCACAGCTGTGTGATGAGGAGGCCAGGAGGTGCCTCTCTGAGCTGGTTTTCTCAGGCTAGAGGTGAATAGAATAATTGCTGGGTTTCTTTCTGTTCCTTGTGCTTAGATATTGTTTGGAAACAGTAGTTTCCAAATCGACTAGTTCTGCTTGAACTTTGTTTAGATTATACACTTGCATAATAAAAATAAGTTTTAACCTGCCATCTATTTTTTCTTATATTCTCTGCCAATAGAGTACTGGTCAATCCAATTTTTTTCTTGTTATTGCAGACCTAGGGAGTTGGCTACTTTAAAACTTTGGTTATTAGAAATATTTGCAAGGTAGGTGTTTTGGTGCATGTCTATAATCTCAGTACTCAGTAGACAGAGGAAGGAGGATGGAGAGTTTAAAGCCAGCTTGGGCAATGGTAGCATGAGACCCTGTCTTAAAACAAAATGAAAACAAAAGGGCTGGGGGCATAGCTCAAATTGAAGAGCATTCGCCTAACATGCACAAAGCCTTAGGTTCAATCCCCAGTACCACCAAAGCAAGACAAACAAAGAAGACAGACAAACAAAGTGAAAACTATGTAAAGGGTCACTTATTTCCTGTGTCTGTGGCAGGAGTAAAGGCCCCTGGAGGGCTGGCAAGAGGTGGGGGAGTAGCAATGAATACATTAGTTTGGTTTGCTTTCAAATCACCCCTGGTTTAACCCTTGGTCATTTTCAGCATCTGTCATTTTGTCCTGCCAGGACGAAGTCCAAAACATTTAGGAATGCAGGAGAGAGGAGGGGTGAGCTGAGAAAGAAAAGGCAGGGAGGTTTTGGATGTATAAGCACTGCTTATAGCCATGGAATGTGACAGCAAGGAGGGACTCTGGAGGTCATTTGCCCTGCCCTCCATTTTGCAGTGAAGAGTGAATTGCTCAAGGCAGCATAGAGACCAAATCCAGACTAGAACACAGCTATAGCTCGGTCTCTTCCTTCCCTCCCTCCCTCCCTCTCTGCTTCGCGTCCTGGTTTCTTTTTATTATGAAAGATTTCAAGTTTATACAAAAGTGGCTGGAATGGTATCATCCACCTACATCTGCCCATCACCCAGCTTCTGCAATTATCTACTCATAAGAAATATTTTATCTTTTTCATGACTCACTTTTTCCCCTTCTCTGTTTATTTTGAAGCAAAGTTCATCCTATCATTAAATCCATAAATATTTCAGTGAGTATCTTTAAGAGAGCAATCCTTCTGAGCATAATTGCCATGCCATTAATAAAATGAAAAGTTAATGATAATTCCTTAATACTACAAAGCACTCAGTCTTAGAAGGCATTGCATACGTATTACTTTCTAAGTATTTGACATTTTTGAACACCTGGTTCAGGTAAGAATTTCTAAATATCGTGTGGTCAGAACTCACATGAATGCAGTGAACCCCAAAGAATAATTGAAGTGATTTCTGCTTAGATTCTCAAGGTATCAAGGATGGATTTTTATTTTCTCAGTTTTTAAAAGACCTTCGGGGGCTGAGATGACATTCCCTGCAGCTTAAATTTAACCTACACATTGTGAAGGGCAGTTTCAGGTGCATTTGTCTTTGTTTCCCTCCACTGCAAGTGGAACCAACCACTAATTTCCTGTTGAATAACGAATATGTTTTTCAACTCATTAGGTTTCCACTTGGAGTGCTCTTTGCCTGCTATAAAGAATCCCAGTTTTAGCTGGGCATAGTGGTCTGTGCCTGTAATCCCAGCTACTCAGGAGGTGGAAGCAGAAGATTTCAAGTCCACGTTCAGCCCAGGCAAAGGCATCACAAAACTCTGTCTCAAAAACAAAATTAAAAGCAATCAAACAAACACACAAATGGGCTGGAGCCATGGCTCAAGTGGTGAACACTTGCCTAGCATGTATGAGTCCCTGGGCTACAATCTCAGTAAACCACCCCTGGGGGGAAAAAAAATCCCATTTTAAAAAGCTTTACTCACTTTAATTTTTTCCAGGCAGGTGGGAGAAGAGAGAGAAAATGTTTGTTTATTAAGTTCATACAATTTGATCAATATTCGGATCAGATAGATTTTCAGTAGAAAGCTTAAACAACGTTCCTGAAGCAGTAACTCCCGATGGCTGCTACGAGAAGTTATTCCACACTTGATGGCCTTATTAAAGCAATGGGAATCTATTCTATTCCAGTTCTGGAGCCCAGATGTTTTGAACCAAGTCCTAGGGGCTAAAATAAGGAAGCTTCAGGGGGAGAATCTGGTTT